TAGATACCACAGCAATGGATGCTATAGAACAGTGGTTCTCAACCAGAGGTACACATACCCCTGGGAGTACACAGAGGTCTTCCAGAGGGTACAATGACTCTCCTAGATATTTGCCTACTTTGACAACAGGCTGCATAAAAAGCACTAGCAAAGTCAGTACAAACTAAAATTTCATACAGTGACTTGTTTATACTGCTCTATACACTGAAATGTAAGTACAATATTTATATTCCAGTTGACTTATTTTATAATTATATGGTAAAAATGAGAAAGTCCGCAATTTTTCAGTAATAGCGTGCTATCATAGGTGCTGACTCCATGGGTGCTCAAGCCCCGGAGCACCCACGGGAAAAATTAGCAGGTGCTCTGCCCCAACCAGCAGCCAAGCTCCCCCCATCCCCACCCCCACCGCGCCTCCTCCTCTCCTGAGCGCACCGTGTCCCCGCTCCTCCCCTTCCCTCTCAGCGCTTCCGGACCCCTCCCCTGCCGCCTAACAGCTGTTTGGCGTCGCTTAGGACTTTCCAGGAGGGAGGGGGAGGAGTGGGGACACGGCACGCTTAGGGGAGGAGGCGGAGAAGAGGCAGGGCAGGGGCTGGGACTTGGGGGAAGGGGATGGAATGGGGGCAGGAAGGGGGTGGGGCTGGGGTGGGAAAAGGCAGGAAGTTTGGGGAAGGGGTGAGGGTGGTGCAGGGACAGAAAGAGGTGGTGCAGGGGTGAGGCCAGAGGTGTGGGGGGGAGGGGGGAGCCCCCACCGGGCAGAGGGGAAGTCGGTGCCTATGTGTGCTATGACACTTTTGTATTTCTAGGACTGATTTTCTAAGCAAGTAGTTTTTAAGTGAGGTGAAACTTAGGGGTATGCAAGACAAATCAGACTCCTGAAAGGGATACAGTAGTCTGGAAAGGTTGAGAGCCACTGCTGTAGAACACCCTAAAACAGACAGAAACCAATGTTACTAGTCATAATTATGGGGGAGATGCTAACAACAGGACTTAGAATGGAATCTGGTTACAACTCCTGTCCCTCCATAATATGCAAATATATGTATGTATTACACAGACAGACACACAACCTCTGAAGAAAGTTTCAGAGGAAACTTGAGATCTGAAAATCAAAATATAATTTTTGCTTCTTCCACCTCTACTAGTCAATAAAAAGTCTAATCAGCATCTAATTGGCAATCTTCTTGATTATGCGGAGGCAGAGTAGCATCCATCTTGCTAATATGAATCAGTTTCCTCTGGAGAGCTAACAAGAGTAAAAATGTTTCCTGATAGGAAAATAAGCAGATATGTCTCAAAGACACAACAAGCAGAACCGCTAAGAAAGAAGGCATTATCTTTATAATTACTGGTGATGTTTTAGCTATGAACTGAATCACTTAATTAAATCACTCATTAATTGAATCACTTAGGACCTGATCCATCTCCCACTGAAGTCAGTTGGAGTCTTTCCACAGGCTTCAATGGGAGTTAGATCACTAGAATCCAAAAACTTTTATGTACTCTCCAAAGTCGTCGTCTAAATCTTTCCAGTAGTCATCTCTGGCCGGGAGCAATCACCCTTTCTAAGGTTTATAGTTTAGTCCGTCTCTCTTCAGGCTCACAGCTAAGGTTACCTAGACTGCCAGTCACTGTATTAGTCGATTGTTGTCAGTCTTTTCTAAACGTGTTGAGATTTTGTAATTAGAACCATTAACAATGGGATTTCACAGATGTAGGTTACAAGCTTTCAAAAGAGAAACTACAGTCACAGGCAGTGGGGAAATATTTAATAACTACTTATCCTCTAATTAAACAAGGTACGGAACTCTAAGTACTGCATGCTAAGCACTGCTCTAGCATATGCTTATCATAACCCTACAGAATTGTACTAAAATGCGAAGGTTCCAATCTGAGCTAGTCTTCGCCAAGATTCATCTCACACACAGATGGAGCAGTTTTGCTGTTTCCATGCTGACACACGGAGATTGTAGCATGAAGGATTAAGTTCAAATTTATCATAAAATCACTTCAGATAGGACAATGTAATCTTCAAATTCTACTTGAATTTGACACACAGAAAGACAAAACAGACTGTGTTGGACTTAAAATAGGCAAACAATAACTGAACTGTTTGCTTAAAAAAAATAGAACCCTCCTTAGAAAGACTTGGATTAATCCATCAGCTCTGGGACTGATTCTCTGACATCATTGGCAAATGCTCAATAAACACAAGATAGAGGGCTGGAAAGATTCTCTCCACTGTCATAAAATCCAGATGTTGCTCTACGCCAGGATAGTTTCCCAAGACAAGGTTAAGCAGCCACAAATTGCCAATGCCCTTACTACATGTGAGGATTATCATTTTGAATGGGGACACTGGTCATAGCCCTTTCTCCCAGTCATGTTCCCTATACCAGCAGCTATAAAAAGGTTGATGGCTGCAGGTGTAGGAGACACTACAGGTAGCTCTACATCCTCTGAGGATCCACCTGTGCAGGGGAGATCAGCCAACAGTTGGATCTGCCAGATTTAGGCTGGTTTTCTTCCACTGGAGCAGTGAAAAGTGGCCAGAGCAGAGCCCAGGATCAGGGCCAGAGTTCAGATCAAACTTTATTTATGAATAGAGTGAAGTTGATGGCTTTTAAACCTGTCCTGAACATTCATCAGTACACTTGGGAGTCTTTGAGGAAGAGAGGCTCACCACCAGAATAGCAGTTGAGGACTAAGGTGCATTGATAGTATAGTTAAGTGCAGGGCACAAACACACACACAGATACCCCATGCCAGCAGTCTCTTCTCTGAGAAGAAAAACAATCTCCAGTTTCTCACAAAAATAGTGGTTCAGATCCTGAGGTCATACCTTTCACAGGAAAACTGCTATTGAAAACAATGGAAGGGCTGCCTCATTCAGGAAGACTGGATAAAAATTGAGTAAGAACTTCAGGATGTAGCTCAAAGAATAAGAGACTTTCACACAGGGACTGGGCCCTGACGATTGGCTCCAGATCTGTCAGCAGCATTCAGGGCTGTTTGGATCTGGGCCCATCCCTCATCTCACACACAATAAGAGCTGACTGAAGGGCACAACAGCATTTCATGGCAAACTTCCAGGTTTCGACATTTGTTTTTTGTTCCACACTGGAACAAAATGTTTTGAACGTTTTCACAAAAAATGGAAGAGTGTGTGTGTGTTATAGCCTGTTCTGCAATGCTGGAGATTCAGATTCAAGCCCCTGCTTCAGACCAGAGAGTTTTCCTCCCACATCACACTGAATCAGGCAGAGCAAAAACTTAACTAGCCAGCTAAAGAGTATGAGAGAGAATCACTCTTGCTCTTGAGGTGACTTAGGGTATGTCTACACGGCAACAGACGCTCACAGCAGTGAATCTCAGAACCTGGGTCTACAGATTCAGGCTGCCGAGCTTGTGCTACAGCACTAAAAATAGCTGTGTAAATGTTTGGGCTTTGGCCGGAGCTCAGGCTCTGAAGTCTGAGCCCAAATGTGTACACAGTTTTTTAAGCATTGTAGCGCAAGCCTGAGTCTGTAGACCTGGGCTGTCATTGCCACAGGCTTCTGCTTGCCGTGTAGACGTATCCTTGTTTGAAACGGAAAGGCTTTGACAAAATTTCATTTAGTTGAAAATGTTCCAACCACCTCTACTCATGCTATTATAACTTTCTGATGCTATTTGTTTTCCCCGGCAATCTATATTCACATTCAATACAGCTTAAAATGCAAATCAAAACCTTTCCCTCGGCCATTGACTTTTAAAAGTTTGTTCAGCCTTTGTTAGCCCTACAGCTAACCCTTTTTAAAAAAAAAAAAAAAAAAGGAAGATTTAAGTTAAACTACTATAGCTATTGCCGGAAATATAATGAAAGTGCTCCCAGCCAAAAGCCTAAATACTGAAATAAGACATTGGATCAGTCACTCTTTCTAACACTCCTTATTATGGCTTCTTTGAGTTCCTTTAAATTATAGGTCTGTAAAGGTACCAGGCTTAATTATCTTGTAAGTCACTGTCATGCCTGCCTACTTGCTGAATGCCAAGGCACCGAAATGAAGGCTACATCAGTTTTTCTTTTGTTATTTTGTTGTGTATGGAGTAAACATTTCAATCAATTCCCCCGCCCTCCACCCCATCATTTTAGGATTACATTGAAATTTTATGTGAAAGAGGAAGGACACACTATTCCATGGACAAAGTGGAACAAAAATCATTGGCATGTAAAGGAGACACTGCAAAATGTGGGGTAATAATTGATATAGGCATTGATGTACACTAGGACACAGGAGACCCATATTAAAAAATTAAAGAGCCATAGGCTGGAATTCATTCCCGGGTCACTCTTAGATTTCTAATGAAGGTTAAGGATTTGTATGACCTAAATTAAATCTTTACAGTAAGTCTTCTCAGATCCTCAGTAAGGGCCATACTGTGGTTGTCCAGTCCCATTGGTTTGCACTAGTAAGGTTATTACAGTTCGGCCTCTTATGAGCTACCCTCAACAAAGCTGATCTGTGTCCTTGCAGAAGGACTGTTTTGTTAGAATGGTTCTTTTGTTACTATCTGGCCTTCATTGGCATTATCAATTCTCTGTTGGTGCCTAGGAAATATGCAGTGACTCAGTATCATACAACATCCCTGATTTCAAGAGTTCCGAATATTAAAATAATACTTGGATTACGGGTCAATTACCGGCTATTAGCCAGGATGCTCAGGCATGCAACACCATGCTCTGAGTGTCCCTAGCCTCTGCTTTCCAGAGGCTGGAAGTGAAGGACAGGGAATGGATCACTCAATGATTGCCTGTTCTGTTCATTCCCTCTGAAGCACCTGGCATTGGCCACTGTCAGAAGACAGGATCCTGGGCTAGATGGACCACTGGTCTGGCCCAATATGGCTGTTCTTAGGTCTGATGACATCTCTCTTTTAAGGAGGTAATGCTGTCTAGTGTTTAAGATGTTAGAACAACCCTCCTTGACATTCTCTTGTGAACTTTGGTCTTTTATTACCTTTAAAGAGCCATGATGGTCTTTCCCTCCGACAATTAGAACTTCTGCCATATCTTCAGCCTGGGCAGACCGAGCATGGATGAACAAAGCTCGGCCAGCTTCAGTTATATTTTTCAGTGCAACTAAAGATCCATTGGGTTCCACCTTAAAGTCTGGGTTAGAAACTTCAAAGTTCAACTTGTCATTCCCCTCGCAGTCATCAAACACCACTGAAAAAGAAGAAACAACAAGAGCGTAAGTATTGGTCTACACACACAAGCTTCAAACATTTATACATGATTTGCTTCTCCACAGATATCACACACAACTTGTTCCAAACTATGGAGCACATTTTCAAAGTGGTCTCCAATCAAGCTCTTTGTTTGCATAACTTCGTGGACAAGCTTGTGCATGTGCAGTTTTGGAGGGATGCAAGATTTTGACCAGGCAAATTGGGTAGCTAAGGCATGAATGAATAATTTCACTCTTGGACACTGAAATCACTCAAATCAAGATCACACAAACAGCAAATACATACCTAATTGCATATATTACAGCAGGGGTAGGCAACCTATGGCACGCATGCCGAAGGCGGCATGCGAGCTGATTTTCAGTGGCACTCATACTGCCCGGGTCCTGGCCACCAGTCCAGGGGACTCTGCATTTTAATTTAATTTTAAATGAAGCTTCTTAAACATTTTAAAAACCTTATTTACTTTACATACAACAATAGTTTAGTTATATATTATAGACTTAGAGAAAGAGACCTTCTAAAAACGTTAAAATGTATTACTGGCACGTGAAACCTTAAATTACAGTGAATAAATGAAGACTCGGCACACCACTTCTGAAAGGTTGCTGAACCCTGATCTACAGAGTACTTATCATGGACTTGTTCGTGTTACTGGACCTCTAGAGTCTTTAAGGCTAACAAAACAGTTAAAGGTAACCAGTATGTTGCCTTCATGACTGGAATTGGTTGTTTTTAAAATATCCTGCGTCATATTCTATTGTAAAAATGTTATATGATAGAAAAGTGTGGCAGAAAGAATACTATAGTTTACGTCACTATCAAGACATCTGGCTAAATGTATGAATTCCACATTAAAACTATCCCTCCTTATTGTTTAAAGTTGTAAATAGAAGATTGACAAATCAATGGAAGTTGGCTGTCTATGGGAAGAGAACACCTACCTGCTCTTTTTGTTTTTTAAAAAAAACTTCCCCATAATTGTAACAGTGTGACATGTAATTCAAAATACTGTAATTGTGAGTAGTATGGATTTTTTGTTTGCAGAATGGTTTATCTTATTTATTGATTTGAGATCCTTTTATAAAGGATGATCTATGAAGGTGACTATTTTAGGTTATATAGAATTATAAGTGAGTACGGTAGTTATATATATTAGCCACCATTTAAAACACAGCTATCACCCAAATACAGGATCCCAGTTAACACTGTGTGGGCATTGTATTTAACGGCAACCATCAATGGAGCAATATAGTTCTTTGTGTTTGTCAGACTTCCACCATTAATAAAACTATTGGGCAGATGCTCACCCTGGTGAAAATTATCATAGTGCCATCGATCCTCAGCCCTAGTATAAATTGTCATAGACCCATTGAGAGCACGCCAGCTGGGGACAGGCCCCTAGATATCCATAGATAGAAACTGTTTATGCTACCAAGAAACTGTTTTAAGCCTTGTGAGAGTAGACAGTGTTGCTCAGATACACATGTTCTGCATACTTGCTATTGCTCTGCATCTTCAGTACTTTATTTTTAATATACTATCATCTTTACCAACAATTCGCTACAACACAATTGTTCTTTAAAGAGATCTCTCAAAAAAAAACATACAAAAAGGAAACAAGAGATTGATGGTGATTAAGAAAGATACTGTGATGAATTACATTAATTTCAAGTGCACAACCAGCAAGCTACTGCAAGTTGATAAGTTATGGGGTAATACAAGTATCTATCCCCATTTCTTTTACCTTTCTTATTTCACAATACAGTGAAAATATATGCTAGATTTTGTGTGTGACATTTGGTAAATGATGAGTAACTTGAGTTAATTCAGATCATATAACCATTCTACATGCCCTGGACTTTTTCTTGAGCTGTGTTAGTCTCCTTAACCATTATACATTTATACTATAGACAGTTTTGCCCCTAAAGACCTTGGAGATTTAGCAAGTACTCCTAGTCTTTAAATACTGTGAATACCATTGCCTGCAGTAATTACACACTTCATTAAAATGGAATCTCAGTTACATCGTGTCAGCTTTAGACCCCATAATAAACCATGTGATTAAGAAGTCTTCACTACAAACTTGTAGTTGCGCCATAAATCTTTTAGGTTTCTCCATTTGAGAAAGATGGATTGCATGTGTTTGGTGTGTTGTTTTTTTCTAAAGGAGATCCATCCTAGACTCCCAGACTGCTTATTAAGCTAAACTTCTTTTAAGTTCATTGTGGGCTGCTTGCTGTTTTGATCTTGTTTTCCCATCTGTAGTGGATCTTTAAAAACTGTTGTGCTTTATGGATACGGACAGGCACCCAGAAATTATAGGAGATCAAAGGCATTAGACTTATTAAAAATAAAGCAGCTTCAAAATGGTTAATTGGTTAAAACCCCTGTTGGGATTATCTTGTTAGGTGCAGTTGTTGTTTCTATAGTCAAGAAATTCCTAGATTCTATCACAGCTTGACCACTACTGGAACCAAAGCTGTGGTCTCAGATACAGAATAACCTTGTACTGTACCATGGCTGGACACACACTACAGAGACTATCTACAACTGACTGGCATAACAGACCTGCAGGTAAATTTCCCATACAACCGCACTCCACCAACACTAGTGGATTAAGCATATATTCACAGCACTGCAGTTCTGGGATCTGGGCTGGCAGGGGACTGTAGACCTAGTCAAATTTCCTCCTGGAAATCCACTACATTTGAACCCCACCACCAGAAAATTGCAGAGATGGGAAAATCTGTGGCTGTTTGCTGATTCTTCAGTTTGAGTGAAGCTTGTTACCATGTGATGCATTGTGGTGTGGCCTAAAATGCACACTAAGAGGCTGATTTTCAGAAGCAATGGTACCCACAACTCCAACTGATGTCAATGGGAGTGCAGGTGCTAAGCACCTCTGACAAATCAGAACCTCAGCTACAAAGGGCAATTGGTTACAGTATGTGGCAGGCTAAGCACTAACTGGTTAAGGAATCACAGCTTGGAATGGGGACAATACCAGCCCCTACCCTCTCACCCAGCACTGTGTACTGGGAGGGCTGGCAGATAGCCATTTTAGATTTGATTCTGACCAACAGGGAAGAACTGGTAGCAAATCTGTAGGTAGAAGGAAATGTGGGTGAAAGTGATCATGAAAAAAGGAAGTAGTGAGAGCAGCGGAATAAGGATAATGGACTTCAAAATAGCAGACAAACTCAGAACTTGTATGTAAGGTTCCATGGGAAGAAAATCTAAGGGCAATAGGAGATCAGGAGAACTAGCAGTTTCTCAAGGAGACAATATTAAAGGCACAACTACAAACTATCCTGATGCGAAAGATCAGAAGACTAGAAAGAAGCCAACATGGCTCCAACAGGAGATCTTTTATGACCTAAAAATCAAAAAGCAATCCCACAAAAAGTGGAAACAGACTAATTGGTAAGGAGGAGTACAAATAGCACAGGTATATTGGAACAAAATCAGAACTTGCTAAGGTACAAAACGAGTTACACCTAGCAAAGGACATAAAAGGCAATATGAAGAGGCTCTAGAAATACATTAGGAGCAAGAGAAAGATGAAGGAAAACATAAGTCCTTTACTTAGCTGTGAAGGAGAACTAATGCATGCTCAGGTATTTAATGCCTATTTTTCTCCAGCCTTTACTATAAAGGTTAATGGTGACCAAATACTCAACACAATTAATGTTACCAACAAGAGAGAAGCAAAAAAGAGAAAGAACAGATTAAAGAACATTTAGACAAGTTAGATGTATTCAAGTCGGTAGGTCCGGATGAATTTCATCCTATCATACTTAAGGAATTGGTTGAAGCAATCTTGGAACCGGTAATAATTATCTTTGAGAACTCCTGGAGTATGGGTGAGGTCCCATAAGACTGGAAGAGAGCAAACATACTGACTATCTTTAAAAAGGGGAGAAAAACCAGGTAATTATAGGCCAGTCAGCCTAACTTTGACACCTGGAAAGATACTGGAACAAACTTATTAAATAAGCAATGTGTAAGCACTTAGAGGATGGTCGGTTATAAGAAATAGCAAGCATGGATTTGCCAAGAACAAATCATACTAAACCAACCTAATTTCCTTCTTTGACAGGGTTGCTTACCTAGTGGATGGGGGAAGCTGTAAGGAAAGGTTAAAAAAACTGGGCATGTTTAGTTCTGTGAAAAGACAACTGACGGGGGACCGGTTAACAGTCTTCAGATATGTTAAGGGCTGTAATAAAGACAACTATGATCAATTGTTTTCCATGTCCACTGAAGGAAGAATAAGTAGTAATGGTCTTAATCTGAAGGAAGGGAGATTTTAGGTTCGATATTAGGAAAAGCTTTCTAACTATATGGGTTGTTAAATGCTGGAATAGTCTTCCAAGGGAGATTGTGGAATCCCCTTCATGGAGGCTTTTAAAACAGGTTGGACAAACACTAGTCAGGGATGGTCTAGGTTTACAGGCCAGCCTTAGCACAAGAGGCTGGATTTGATGACTTTGAGGTCCCTTCCAGCCTTAGTTTTCTCTGATGCAGCACCATGAGGGAGTGGGTAAAGAGTGTCCATGTGCATGAGTAAATGGAGGAGTCAGGGTTGAATAGGTGGGGGAATGGAAAGTGGAGCCTCAAAATGGGAAAAACTGCACAAGTGAGCATAGGTGCTAGAATTAGTGGTGCTGCAGCACCACCTGGCTTGAAGTGGTTTCCATTATTTACAGGGTTTACTGTTTGGTTCAATGGCTCTCAGCACCGCCACTATAAAAACTGTTCCAGCACCACTGCAAGTGAGAGGAGAGAAAGAGAGGGACAGTGATGGGGTAGGGAAGAAAGGAAGGGGTGAGACTAAATTTTGGGAAGAGATACATTAAGGGGGAAGATAGAAATGAAAATATGAGGGAAGGAGAGAAAAAACACCACTGGGAAAGGAAGGCAGATAGAGGTGGCAGAAGAAAGGAGGAGAAATCAGACACACAAAAAGCGGCTAGA